AGTCTTTTAAAAGAGAGAAGGAAGTATTAAGGATTGTGAAATTTACTTGGATTAAAATCCAAGTTAATTTGGATTTATAGTTACAATAAAGAGAGCAAAATAAAAAATGCAGTTCGGAGCCGAGCGTGTTGGCTGCGGATAGACTAGGCAAAACATTCAGACCTTATCAATGTTCTTGGGTATTATTTGTGTAGAAGTAACTGGGTTCAGTGCAACTTTATCAGTACTTTTAAAAAACAATTTAACTCTTTTCAGTACATAAGAATTTGAGTATGACTATCAACTGCTTGATGCGTCATTCTTAGAACTTAGGCAAGGGTATGATTTTGCTATTCGTATTTAATACAGACATAATGACTACTTTGTTTTGCATAAAAATTGTGGGAATGCTTGTGTCTTATGGGAACATCCACAGGCTTGAGCAAGAGTACTACTTCATATTTTAGTAATTTTTTCGGTGACTGTAAATGGCAGTGTTCCTGTCTTGCTCTTTCCTTCTGGGTTCAAGTGAATTAATGGCAAGAGAACAACTGAAATTAAATGAGCACTAAGAATTTTCAATGTCTGAATGCATACATGCTATTGTTTACTTCTCAAACTTAGTCCAGTAGTTTTCCATTGTATTTGCTGACCTACCTAATGTGTTAAAACCACTGTATGCACAGTTTGTCATTAACCTGCAGCAGGCAAATGACAGAATTCAAATTAAGGAAAACTCATATTTTCATTATTTTATATTCTATGAAACAAACAATGATTGTACCTCTCTCCAGTTGGTTAATGTATAATTTTCTTCAAAGCCCTTTAAACATCTCCATTAGGACAGACACTAGCTCCTATGAGGGCTGCTGTTAAAGTCTGTACTACTTGTCCTGTTTAAAGATGGCCTGTTCAAAGCAACACTCACTTTTTAATTTAGGGTTTAAATGTCTACTTGATTTGCATTTACATCAAATGTGGTAGGGTGTTTGTGTTTAGAGAAGTGAAGTGGTAATATCCCATGTCTAAGCTTGCTGAGAGAATTTGCTGCAGGGTTTGTATATCTTGACAGACTTCTTCATAAAAACTACTTACTATGGCTCAGTGATCTACTGAACAGACTACTTGTGCTGCTTACTGTTACTGCTTAAAAAAGGGAAATAGGAAAGATGTTGCATTTGGTCAGGTAGAATTAAGTAAAATAGTAACACTTTAAAATTATTTCACCACAGGTTTGGTTTTGTGTGTTGTTTTGTGGTGGTTTTTTTGCTTAGGCATTTTGTCCTGAAGTTGAGCAGAGCTCATCTTTCTTAGCAGAAAGTCCAAAGAAATTCTTCATGTACAACAACAACTGATAATGGAAGAAAAGTGAGTTTTAAAGTAGTTTGAGTTAGGTGTCTTTGCTCATGAAGCTGGCTTGATACCTTACTGTTTCATAAATAGTGCAATTCCTCTATTTGGGTATTGGTCATCCAAACCACGTTTTCTTTCATCTGTCTTTTGTGACTGTTGTCATAATTTCACATCAGTAGAAGAAGAAAGTTCATGCTAGAAAGGCATTGTTGAGAAGAGTAAAGATTTCAGAGTAAGAGCTTCTGTGGGAAGTGCTCTTGCGAAAAGGTAGCCAAGGTAGCTGAATGATGCATAAGAAGGGAAGGAGATAGAGTATATTTAGCTGTGGGAACAAGAAGTTATGTTTCTCTCTTTTCAGTAGCATTAACTAGAACACTGGAGAATGTGTTTACTCTTTGGTAATGGTACTACTATATTCTTTTTAAGGTTATCTTTTCCCTTTTTTTTTTTCTTTTCACCATTTTTGTGAAAACTCCCCTGTTCTTTATAAGTGAGCAGCAGCTTCTGGTTTGCCTGACCTTACATTCCTCCTGGGAGGCAAAATGTACTATATCAAAATGCTAGATTTTCTCTGCAGCAGACTGTAAAATACCAGATACGCTTCTTATCTGTCTTGGGAAGCTTTTGCTAGTTTTAAGTTGCAATTTGAGTAAAGACTTGCTTACTCAGTTCTTTCTTCCTTAGTCTGCTGTTCTTTCTTCCTTAAAACTGAAGATGTTTACTTTTGTTCTGTAGACACATTATTATTTTTTTTTTTTAAACAACTCTTTATTTGTTAGGTCAATTGCTATCTGGAATTACCAGTTTCTCCAAAAGCTGTGGCTCTACTATTAATGTTTCAGCAAGCAGATTTTAAGCATGATAAAGAAGGAGGATCAGTATCTTTATTTGAGACAGTGTGCATGTTTCATTAGTTATGCTTAACTAGACCTCTTTATAATTTTAGTAGCTGCATGCAAAAGTGTGAAGAGGAAAAAAACAAGGAGTTTTCATGAAGCTGACGTGGAGAGTTGGTTTTTGTAACAGAAACAACTGTAAAGATTTAGGGAAAATTCTGTGTAGTATAATCTAAACCCCTACTGTTTCTGTACAGGCTATGAGTTAAATATCTAAAACTAACCAGAGGAAGGTATTGTACTAACTAAACCCTTATTTTCGTTAATATGTATGTTTAATGGCTTGCTGTGCTTGGGGCAAGTAATTAAAATTAGGCTGATATACTCGTGTTTATAGACCATGCTCCTTTGCTTTTATACAACTTCGGTCACTTCAGGTGTAATAAATTACTTCAGATGTAAAATGACCATTTCTCTTTCTCTTGCATGAGCGGAATAGGATATTGAGCTGCCCCTCTAGATTTGTTAACCTTGTAGCTATTCACACTTTTGTGGGGTGCTTGTAAACAGGGGACTAAAAGGTGTGTGTGTTAGGGTTTTCGTCATGTATGAAATAATGCATTTGAGCTGTGGAGTATGTGGAAATAAATTGTGTCAGTGAAATATTTATGGTTTAGCCATTAGCTAGGTCGCCTTCGTGACCTATTGAATTAGAAGTGGGTCTGTTTTCTAGTAAGAAGCTACTTAAACTGCAAAAAGATAAAAACGATTGCTTGCACTCTTAATGTTAACTCCTTTAGTCCTCATCTGCAAGGCACAAAATGACATCAGTCTAGAAATCAGTTTGAATGAATTTTATAGCTGCTGTGTATACAGAACGTTCTTCCAGGTTCTAATGTGTAATAGCAGCTTTCTTGTGAATAAATGTCACAAGAACATCACAGTATAAATACTGTCATTATGTTCTGCAAAAGTAGCAATATAGAAAGAAAATTGTTGTGCCTTAATGAGCTTCTAAACCTTTTTTTGCCCGCTACTGAAATGCTTGAAACACAGAAGTGCTTTATGATAGGTCTCCAAATCTGCACTAATGATACAGATTACCAAGATTGTACCCTCACTAGGCACTTTGTCCCTGCATATCTAAGGCATTTAATGTGGGTCTAAGACAAGGAGTGAAAGACTATGTAGTTCACAAGAACAATCAGTGAGAATCTGTTAAGAGTAATTCATTATCTGTTTAATGTTGGGTAATTTGATTTGCAAATATCTGCAAAAGAAGCCACATGAATTGAAAAAACTGGTGTAAATAGCTCTTAGGGTAAAGAATAGTTTGCTTGTTATACCTTACAGTATAAATATTTAACTTAATTTTTGATAATTCAGTTCTGTGTGGGTGTGAAATTTAAGTAATAATGCTATTTACAGGATGCAAAGTCATGCTATGTATTTACCAAGGCTGAGACTGTGTTACATTAATTCAGCTCCTTATTTATATGTACGGTGAAAATATTTGATTACTTTGTTTTATACTGTCTTTTCTTTTAAATTAATTTTTTTGTAACTCTACTTTTTCTTAAGGGAAACTGAAGCAACTGGTTCCAAATATGATGGTAGTAGATAACCACCGAATTCTGGGGTAGCAGACACCCACATGATTTCTGGGTAGAATTAATGTTTTTAGATTCTGCCATTTCAGCGAGTAAACTAAGAACAATAGTAAGTTGCCATCACCTGTGGTCCTAGTGGTGTACGACAAGCTCTGCCAAGCAGTTTCATGATTACTTTCAGCAAAGAGTGGTTACTGTTAAGCCTTCTGGTTCCCTTCCAGGGTCTGGAGAAGTGTGCGCTTTTTGGTACAGAGTTTGCTGCTACAACTTCATAGAAAAATTGGCATTGATAAAGTTAGGGAGAGCATCTGTTACAAAAACGGGGGCAAACTTCTTTGACAAGAAGAAGAGTGAGGCTCGTTTAATTTAAGTGAAGGCTGGGGAAGTACAGTCATCATCTAATGAATATATATGGGCATGTTTCTCCATGCCCAACTCCCAGTGGTGGAAGGTAGCAGAAGGGGGAATACCTATCTATGCTGAAAGCTGTTAGTGTTTCAAAAGCTAAGCACTGGAGCAAGCAAAGGTCACTCTCTGTTTGGTTTGTGTCACAGCTCTCAACTGCTTTCATGAAAGGGGGTGAAGACTTAGTGCCTATGGTAGCTTTGTCTGGGCTTCATGACCCCAAAGCTCTTCTCCATTCCCAGGAGCAAAGGTGCTAATGGGTGTATCTCATCATATGCAAAAACTTTTCAGCAAACTGTAGAGGTGGATTTTCTGCACAATTTCTGGCAACCTGTTCTCGAAGAGATATAAACCAGATTTCCTGATTATAATTCTCTTTAATACAGGGGCCCATCCATTTAGTAGAAACTAAGTAAATGGATTGTACCACTCTATAGAATATTTCATTCTACTTAGACAGTCCTTTTTATTAGAGGAGGCTCTTTGAGATGGTTTTGTCCATCATAAGCAACAGTCACCCTTTGTCTAACTACTTCTGTATTCTGTAGTGACTCCTTTTGGGGCAAATGAAGTATTTTATTTAAATGTCTTGGGTGAGTGAGATTAGGAACAATGGTCTGGCAAGAGTTCTGCATAAACTGCTTTTAAAAGCACCGCTGTGTAATGTGTTGTCAAGTATGCACTCATTTTTTAACCTCCCTCTTCAAGGGAAATGTGTTTCTGTTAAGGATACATAGTTGTTTACGGTTATATCACGATGTAGGAAACATCCCATTCCTTCTAGATATGAGATGTAATTTTTTTTTTTCCTCTCCAGCCCAGTGTATTAATCGTAAGTTACAAGGAACTATCAAAAGCAGCTTCTCAGTTTGGACCTTATAAACAAGCAGAATGGCGGCCTGACAGCACCATGATAGCTGTTTCAGTAAGTAGGGCTTTTACTTCTTACTGTGGTTAAACTATTGCAAAGAGAGTTTTGTATTACTGGTTTCTGTGCTTATACAAACTTGCAGATTGTATATACATTTAGTTGATACTTATATTGTGAAAATATATCATAGTACCAAGGGGTTTTTTTGATGATAGAACCTTTCTTTAGTAGTTTTCAATTCATTTTTTCCCCTGAAGAATGAATTGCAGTTCTTTGTATTAAAATAATGTTTACAAATATTGGCAAGGGATGATCTAGCATGTCATTACTTTAGTAATCTGGTCACAAAGAATAAGGGAATTTGAAGACATGTGAATGTAAGAAATAGTTGCAGTTAGGTGACATAAGCATGTTTAGCTTGATAAATATGGTTTACAGATGTTTAAGAAGGGTGTGTCTTAAGAGGATGAAACTGTGGCTTTATTAAGGTGCAGTATCTTTTGGTGATTAAAAAAAGTTGCAAGGCACTGAGAACACAGAAACAAGGGCAGTGATAGGTGATACATAGACTCTTCTGTTAAGAGTCTTAAAGATAAAGATGAGATCTGGTCTCACATGGAAATAAAATATTGTTTTATAGCTGGTGCACTGCTCACAGCAGTAAAATGGACTTTGAGCACCAGGATTTAAAAATTCAAGGTGCAAGGTAGACGCAGCAGAGGTGGGAGTAGAGTTTATAGGAGTCAGAATATGGGATGATACTCTTGGTGACTTTTGGTCACATGTCACATTAGGACCAGGTCTTAAAATGAGTAAGTTGCTTTCTCAAGCTTTTAAAATCAAGGCTATTATATTTAAGATTTTCTTGTGAGAAGGTGCAGAAGAAAAGAATGAAATATTAACACTCCTTGTCAGAAGTCGGTTATGTGGAATTACGTACTGGATAACAACTACTGTATTTGTTGGTACACTGACTTAATCTCCTAATATAAACCATCTTTTATGCTTAAAATGATGCCTGTAATGCTTTGTAGTTTTTAAATCAATCAGATATTATTATCTTAGTGGAAAATACTAGATGGTTTATGGAATAGTTTGTGTCTCTACCAATATCATCATGTCTTTAAATCAACTAAACTTGCTGTGCTCCCATTTCTTGTGTGTAATTCAGGGTTAGACTTTTCTGAGTAGTTGGTTTAGAATGTTTAAATCACCTAAAAGGATCTCACAGGATCAATGCAGTGAAATACTTCTGTTAGTGCCAGATTATCTTTTCAGTTAGCAAACGCTTATGGTTACCAGCAAAGGCAGAAAGGAGACTTCTGTAATATTTACTATGAATAAAAAAAAAATTCTTTGATTTTATCATATAGCATATAATCACAAGTAAACTATCCAAACACATTTTAATTACACCTTTATGCAGTAGTTCAGAAGAGATTTAAGTTGTTATATTGAGTTACTTTGCGTATTACGTTTTTTCTGTGATGTTGGGAACCATTTGCTGAAGAGACCTTATGGTTCAGCTGACAGTCAGACTAGCTTTAATTTCTGCCAGTGCAGTTTTTCTGCAGCTAAATGTATAGTGTTCTTTATGGCAGATGATGTCAGAATCTAAATGCTCATACAGTCTCAGTTTCTAAGCTTAAGTTTTACAAATTAAAATTCAAAATGGTCAGTTTATAAAATATGAGTGTCATGAGATTTCTAATATTCTTCATGTTTCTTACACTTAGATTGCATCCCCTGGGTGTGTATATACAAATAATATAGTCAAGCATGTTTGTTATGGTAGTTTTAATACCAGTTCTGTTCTACAAGTTTTTTTAATATGCTTTTGGAATATATGTGAAGTTTGATTTGAAACAATTAATGAGTCCTACTGAAAGACCACATTTACAAGTACTGGTATTTTTGTTATAGAGAAACAGGGAGGAAAGGCAGTTTTGGGAACAAAAAACCTGCTGATGCATGATACTTTTATCCCCAAGTAAACCTGCTGACTTCTTCCCAAGAGAACAAACATTTTCTCCCTTCTTTGTGACTTTTTCTTAAGAAGAAAACTAATGAGTACAAATGAAGGAGGAATAGCAATGCAAGTTATTAATTAAAAAAAGAATAGTTTGTACTACTAGTTTTGTTGAACTGAATTAACTTCAGGTAATTACTGAAGTCCTGTACAATAGCTAAAAATACTACTTTGAAAGCTGAGTTAGATGATTTAGTTCCTTACCTGTTATTACCTGTGCTCTTGACTTCTTGATTGTAGTAGTTTCATGTTATAATGAATTTATGTTAAGAAGGTGAACAAAAGGCTTCGTACGTACTTATTAGCTAAGTGGTACGTTCACTTTTTTTTTAATGACATAATGTTGGGGAGTGTCATCTGGATTGAATGTCCACCAGAGCAATGATATACAGTGTTTTTTGTTTCTGACTGCCAAAATGTTCAGAACATCTCTATGAAAATGTATCACTTTGCAGCATATGCTTTGAGGTAATTATTTGTATTGAAGGCAAACTTTGGTCTAGCATATAAGGCTTTATAAAATACTTCAAGTAGCTTTAATGTAATGCAGTTAAATAAACTTAAGCAGTTCTCATGCTGTCATTATCCCCTAGCAATTCTAACTTCTACTACTAGTATCTTCTACTGCTAAACTGTTGGCATGTTTTCTAAACTCATCTTTTTTTCCCCTGATATTTTGTAGTTTATGCTCTCATATTGCTGCATTTGTAATTTTTCCAGTGTTACTGGGAAATACTTTGTTTCTTGTCTACGTTAGTGCATACATCCAGGGTAGCTAATTCTAGTAGTTTAACAGACTTGTGAATTGGCCCAAGATGCTTCAATATAGAGAACCAGACAAGGCATTTTAGTCCTTCCTCTGCTACAAGCAGTCCCGATTTAGACTGCTTTTCAGTGTGCATTCCCATAGCTAAGGCAGGGCTTTATTAAACATTGTAGCATAGGAGAAACCATGTAGTGAAATCCCTTGCAAGGTACTGTATGTTTATGCTTTTGACTGTCAGAGATGAGAATGATCAGGGAGAGGATGACAGTGATGGTTACTTTAGTAACTCATTGCAACACAGAAATTTCTAAAGCAATGTATAAACCTATGTGAATGAATATGATCAATTTGCAGGAAGTGTATGGTTGAATGCTTCTGCATTTCATCCAGCTCTTCATGGAATTTGAGGTTCTATTTAGAAATGAACCTGTAACAAGAGCAACTTTGTGCTTTGAATAGTGGTCAGTAAGGTCCTTTGTACCTTAATGTCAGTATAAAGCTACTTCACAGTATTGTTTTACTATTCCTTCCAGGATAAGATAACTTACAGGTTAAATATTTAATGATGTAATGGAAAGAACCTGTAAAGATATTAGAAATGAGCATGTTTCTTTACCACATAATACCTGAACATGATATTACTGCATATAGAAAAGGTTCCATTTATTTTCAGCCTGTCTCAAGTTTACCATTACGGTTTGTATTTCATTTTTGCATGAGAAAGATGTTCACTTTGAGAATAATTGTGTTTCTTGGATTTTGAGGCTGAAACACAAATTTCTTTCATGAGAAAGCAAGATACTTGACTGGGGAAAAACATGGCATCTGTGAACTGATAAACTAAGCTACCAAGAGTATTACTTTTTCCTTTATTCAAAGAAAATTAAGCCAACCTTGCAAAGCAGCTTGAAACCATTCATTTCAGTGCTTCTTGTCTCCAGTGCTTTGGGTACATACCCAGCCCATATTAAAATGATTGGATGGAAACACCGTTCAAGCAAAATGCATTTGCCAGTTTGCCTGAAGGATAAATTTGTGCTTTAAACAAATCGTACTTCTTTGAACAACTAACCTTACTGGTCATCTGCCTCTCCTGTGCTTATATCAACACTGGGTCGGCTTCTAGTCATGACTGGAGCGTGTGATATCTAAATGATTTATATTTGTTCTCTGAACAGTGTTACAGTTTGGAGTCAGTCTTCCAGAAGTACAGAGTATGAATTGGGATTGAATTATAGTAGAATGTTTTTCAGACACCAGAAGATTTTGAAAAGGTGTTGTGTTATCTAAAGGTATTGTATGACATGAGGATTTTTTGAAAACTACCTGGATGACCAACATTGAGAGGCAGTGCCTCGCTTCTTTGCACTCTGTAGCATCCATATGCGTTCAGACACCTGGAGGTCTTATTCTGAAGGCTTGCTACCTTCTACTGCATGTGAGCTGCATTAATTTTCTTTGTTGATGGGAATTAGGTTCTATATATCCAATGCAGCTGTCTAGTTTTATGTGTTTATATGTATCAGAGGAAAATTTCTGCTGGAAGCATACATTGACAGTGGTGTTTTTCCATTTTTCTACCTACTGAGTGATCTATTCAGTAGGCTTTAAGGGCTAGTATGGATTTTACCTAGAATGATTTTTCAACACATTTTTTTTTTAGTATATCTGAAACTTGCTGTAAGTGTGTATTTGTATTCAACATATGAGACATATGTAGAAATGGCAAGAGTCTGTATGGATTTTGCTCATGCAGGTAGACTAGATATATATCTTACCAGTGTTTCTCTTTCAGACTGCAAATGGATACATCTTGTTTTTTGAAATCCCATCAGCAAGAGACAAGTATCTTTATGAGCCAATGTATCCCAAGTGAGTATTTTAAACTTTCTTTGCATTCCCACAGTGTGAAAAAATATGGCCAGTCCTAAGCAGGTAGTATGATGATAAATATTTCCTTCCAAAGTACGTTTTAAAACTTGATGAGGATATGAAGCGTCATTCCTATGAGTTAGAGTCAGTTCAGAGAAGTTGCTCTAATTGGTTTGCTGTGAGCTGGTAAGATTCCTTAGGTCCATCTTGTAAGCTCTCAAAATCCTAAATAGCAGTGTTAAAATTGTCTAATTATATAATTTGAGATAGTCTGTTGAAACCACAATCTGTAACAATTTTTGATAATTTTTTTTGAGTAACTCAGTTGAGTAAGTCATGATTCTTAGGAGCTATTAGGGTGCAAAAAACCAGACAATCTGTTGAAATAAGTAAAGGGATAGTGTATCTTCAGCTGTACATAATACAAAAGACTAAACAATGGCTTATGGTATGTTCTTCTTGTTCTGTTTGGAAAGTTGGGGTTTTTATTGGCAAAATCTGAAAATACATGGAAACACATATAAAATGTGCAGTAAGAGTTAAAAAAAAGAAGCTTTGGAAAGTCTGTTTACACATGCCACATGTATGAAAGTTTGAAAAATTAAGCAGTCAATGACAAACCAATCTATTTTGTATATTAAATGTTCTAATTGATTTGTGTTGTCAACCTAAAAGCATGTGTTCTACGAAAAAATCTTTCTGTTAGCATTATACCAAAGGGTATAATGCTGATTCTGTGAGTGAATAAGGCAAGGTGTTTGTCCCTAGGGTGTTTATGATAGGTTGCTTACAATCTCATAAGACTAATACATGTGCTTAACCTGAAGAAGATGAATGATCTCACTGAATTTACTGGGATTACTAGTCTGTCTATATTTAACCCTTGATTTTGAAAACCTACATAAGATTACTACTGTTCTAGTTATGTACATCAAAAGAAAGACACAAGCATTTGTGTGTGAATTATGCCTGCTGTGATTAATATGCCTGCTGTCAGATAATTCTGTAAGCTGCTATAATGGCATGAACTTTTTTGATGCAGATACAGTGCACTGCCTGTAGGCAGTTTCACTAATTTGCTTTGTAGATTGAATACTAAACCAAGCAAACAAACAAAAAACCCAACCCAAAATGAACAAACAGATGAACTTTAAATTTGGGCTTTTGGTTTAGTTTTAGCTTGCTTCTGGCATTTGTTCATTTTCCAAAGACATTATTTCACTGAAATACTTGAATTTCATTTCTACTGGACTGAACAATGCCAAATTAATTTTGTTAACTCTGAAGCCATTAAAAATCAGTGAAAGGCCTCATATGTGGCTTGCCTTGTGCTTGAAAGGGGACATATTACTGTTTTCTTCCACTGTAACAGTGTGTTCTTGGCTCCTTCCTCTATGTTGGCAGCAGTGATTATGCAGCTGTGCCTTAAGTAAAGTTGGGTTGCTGACCTGATGGGGAAACTAACCCTGCCTATCTCCCTCCTTTACTCCTCCCTGTCCTCTCCCCTGGATTCCAGTAGCTTAGCTTGCAAGTTGGCCTATAATAAAAGGCTGGCACTAGAAAATGATGACCTTGAAGTAGCACTGAGTAGCAGCACCGGGAAGTTCAAAAACATGGAGTTCAGTGTTCAGTGATACTCGTATGATAATTCTCATATGCTAGTTATTGATAAAGCAATTGCTTGCAACATTTTAACTCTCATGCAAATATTAATTACAACTTTTACAGCTCTGTCTTATGTGGTTATTTCCCTATGTTAGGCAAAGTGAGTGGGAGGGTGGTGGTTTTTGCAGAGAGTGTAAAGATGTAAGTCTGTCCTTGTATTAGTGGTGTGGTAGGACAGTTGCTGGAAATAAGTCGGTAAAAACAGTGAAATGGATGGACATCAGGTTCAAATGTAGGTCTCCATACTTTGCATATTTGAGGTAGAGGATTTTTTGTCTACCATTCTTCTCTTTGGACACCTCCACAACATACCAGAAACTTAAGAGCTGTTGTAGAATATCATCAGTCTTATTCTACTTTTTAAAATTATGAATAATTCTTAACCTTGATGAACTGTCTATATCTGCTAACTTTTTGTAAACAGAATGAAGCCTGTTCTCTAGTATCCTTTCTTTAAATAATAATGGCCAGTTCTGACAGAAACATAAAATTTCAATGTAGTGACTACAAAAATAAAGCAAAACTCTCTTAATACAACTTCAGCTTGAACAGAATTTTTCGTGCCTTGAGAGTACACACCAGCAACATCCTCAGCTATGCCAAAATCCTGGTGTGAGATTTTCTAGTTTAGTCAGTATCCTGAAGTTGAACTTGTGGCTAGGTTTGATCTCATACAGGTGAAAACATTGAGAAAGGTTGTGTTTAAATTCTCCTGTCAGCTCAGCTCTCATTTAAGTGAAGTGTGTGTATTTTACTGTAAGTAAAAAAAGAATATCAGAAAAGTGGGTAATAAGGTATATGATAGACAGCCACTTTCTTGACTTTAGTTATTTTTGCAGTCTTCCGGATTGGCACACTGGTAGCTGCAGTAAAATTACAGCTTTATGTGGTATTGGTATTTTTTAAATAAGTGCCTTAAAATTTGTTTGACAATGGTTTAGCCTTGGTTTGAAGAAAAGGATCAAAAAAAGTTGCTGAAAATAAAAATCACTCCCCATTTGTCCATATGGGAGAGGGAAGTTTGTGAAGTACAGTCCTTCCAGTATATAGTTGTTACTACACAGAGTTGTAACTATATATGGCTGTTGAGCAAGATGATCCAGAAGAGCTTGCCTGTATTTGATCTGTTAACAGAACTATTTTAGCATACAGTTATTGTGTAAACTGTAATTACACTTGCAAAATTTTTTTGCTGGTACAGTTTGAATGAAAGGCTTCAAGGTTAAAAAAAAATAAAACTGCATAGGAAGTGACAGAAACGCTTTTCCTGTTTAGAACTCAGTATGCATTGCAGGATATCTAATCACAGTATAGTATTTTTTTTTTTTTTTTCAGGGCCAAGTCTCTCTCTTCTTTCCCAATCTAACCAGCACAGGTTTAGTAGAAGCTAAAGTGTGACTTGAGGATAAGCTCTCATTGTGTTTGAATGTAAGAGTCTCTGCTTCCCCATATCTTTTAGTAGTGTGAAATAACCAGATTTTGGAAAGTAAGGTTGAGTGAACTCCCCCTGCCCCCTGCTATTGTTTGTTTAAAAAGAGACAGAATCAGAGACTAGGAAAATTGATTTCCTGTCTAAAAATGCCCATTTGGCATGACTTCCTCCTTTTCATATCAACCTGTTGTAATGGTCTTTATATTCTGAAATTCAGTGTTTTGATGGAAGTGCTGGAATTCAAGTTTATCAACATTTGCAGCTGGAGCCCACAAAACCTTTTAAGTTTGTTCTGTCAGTATTGGAGTGCATAGGTTTTATAAAATTGAGAGTATTTAAAATACTTCAAGATGGTTGAGTGGGAAATTCTTTTTAAATGCTAGACATTGTATACCTTTAGAGGTTTAATCAGTTTAAAGTATACTTATGTAGATATGGTAAGTAATGCTGGCCTGTTCAGCATTATGCACGTTTTATGTAAAATCTATTATTATTAATGTGATAAAACGAGTGCTTGTAAGTGCAGAATTGTGTCATGAATTCTGATTATAGTTACATATATAAAAAGGAAGCTTTTTGAATTTTTACTCTAGTCAGTTGACAGTTTTTTGTCAGATTATAATATTTGAGGAATGTTATGAATGGCAGTTGTTCTATTGAAGGAAATATTTCTGGCTCTGTTGATATTTGGCTAGGAATTGCTAGTCTGTTCTTGAAGTGAACAGACATTCATACTTAATGGAAACATAATGTATCCTGCTTAATTTGTTAGACTAAAAGCAGGAAAAAAAGCAGTAATTGTGTGGGGTTTTGTGTTTTGGTTTGGTTTTTTTTGTTTGTTTTTTTTTAAATTGAGCCAGAATGGTCTGCAGCTTCATTCCAGCTCTCGGAGACTTTGCTCCAGTTCAGAGCAGACTTGGAAGAGAATCAGTATTGGCTATTAGCTCACATTCTGGGATACTTTCCTGCAGTGAGCACAAGTACAAAGTCCAGCTTCAATTAGTTCAGTCTAGTTTTACCACCATATTACTCAAGTCATTACAAGATAAAACATGAAGAAAATGTATGTTTGGTAAGGTAATAGAATGGTAAAATAAAATTAATCTCCACTTATGATACACTTAAGAAAAGTGGCAGTGCACACAAGCAAATTTGTAGCTTTGTAAGCTGTGGCAAGGTACAGTAATATTTTTTTTTGAGGAGTTTCCGAAGGAATTTGTACAGATATTCCTTTGTTTCATGGTGAAGAGATCTGTAACACCACCACAGTAGAGGCTTCTCTGTATTGAACTGATAGTTATTTCTGTTTAGAGTTTGGCAAGGAGAGTGACTTAAGATTTGTCACTTATCACGGTGACTTAATGCTGAGGATGTTCTTGCCTTTAAAAAAGACAAAACCTGAAAAAATTTTACGTGGCTAAGAAACTAAACATGGTAATCAGAGATTCTTTTGCCTCAGATTTCTTCATATCCTCAAGCAGAGCCTGCATTTGGGGTGGGGGGAGGTGATATGAATGTTGTGTAAGTTTAGAATGAGACCTCAATGCTGTAGATTTTTAAGTACCTGAAAATGCTTTAAAAATTGAAGTTGTTTTCTAACCACTATGGGCACGTGAACAAGCTAGTGTTTATATCCTGGTTTACAACGCTGTATTGTTGCTTATACGTCTGGTTCCTGTGTTCATGTCCTACTTTTTCTGGCACTTTTGAAAGCTTTTTCCTTTTCTATAGCAAGATGGTTTATAGATGCCATAAATTACCTCATCAGTGGTGATTTTCTTCCTGATTCAGCGGATGTAAGATTAGTGTGTACAAAGGTTTTGAACTTTAAACTCTGCAAGGGTAACTGATGAGGTGTACAGTTAATTAACTTACTAAATAATTTTTGTTCAGAATTAAGCTT